TCGAGACTTTGAAGCATTAGCAAAGCAAACAAAAGCATTTTCTGTGCCATTATGTATGTCCTTTCCCCTCCAGAGAAGGACAAACAGTTCAATTGGCGAAAACGCTCTTTGCTAATTTATTGCGTTTTAATTCATATGCAAAATGTTTTTTTTTTCAGCGTGCTTTTAATGTTGGATAAATAATCATATATGTACATAATTATGAAGATATTGGGACATGAAAGGCAAAAACAAATCCGGGGAGAGATAAGTAACCTGGATGGGAGGTTTTTGGGGATTTGTCTTGGGTCGGGGCTTTGGGGTTGCCACAGTCAAGTGCACACACGAAGTTTATTTTGGCCAGAAATCTAATAAAACTCCGCAGCAGGATGTCTCTAAAGGAAATTATTTTTTATTCATGCATTAAATTGTTTTGACTTTGGTCCGATAGAGATCAGCATGTCGTTTCTGGATTTTCTTTATGATTATTATTTTTCCAAACTCTCCCCACAAGTCTTGCATTTTTGCCCTTCATCCCGGTGTTGCCACATGCTAATCAAATTACAAGATGTGTGTGTGTCCCGAGTCTCCTTGGTTACCCTCAACGGCTGAATCATTTCCCAGACACAATCACCTGAGAGAAAATGGGGGAAAAGCGGCAGCTCAGCCTGCAGCAAAAATATCAAAAATAATTTGTTTGACAATAAAAGACGATAAACATTAAAATTATGTGCCAGAGATTTTCTTTTTCTCAGAAAAAAAAAGAAAACTGAAAAATGAATAACAATATAAATGTAAAAAGTAAGTTGCGTGAGAGACATAGTTGAATACCCTTTAAAAATAAATTTAAAAAAAATTTAACAATAAAAAAAATACAATATAATTTGCATAAATTTATATTGAACTTTATATAATGAAAAATTCAATAACCAAAGCATACAAAAATAAAATATAATAAGATAAGGAAGAGCAATAATTGCCTAAAAGTTAACATATACATACATATAAAAGAATTTCGAAACTAAAAACATTTAAAACTTACAAAAATGTTCAATACTATAAAAGGTAAATTAACTAAGAAATTTTAAATCAAATCAAATATCTTTTCTTGAAAGAGTATTTCCCAGAGGAGAACATACAGAATATTTCGCCGGGGGCTTTTCGCTGGCAAAAGAGATATCAGCGGCGGTGTTGTCATCGCTGTAGAATTTTTTTTACCAGAAACTGTCCTGTTTATCCTTACCCTCACCAGCCCTCGCTATCCACTGCAGTTTATTCTGGCCCGGGGGTTACTTTTAAGGGGAGCTTAAAAAGCGATCTCTAATGATTAGTCCGCTAAACTCACTCGTAAATTTGTCAAACCGCTCAAGTTATGGGAATTGCATTTTTTTTTCTTTATCTGCTGAATTTGCATAGAGCTTTTCTGTTTTCCCATTTTCCTTAGTTTTCCCTAGAGACCGCTCCCTTGACCAGCTTTTTATTTGATTATTAAATTAGATTTTTTGTGGTCCTTGTTTCGTTTAGCTTTCATACTCACTTTTTTGCACTTTGGGTCTCATTAAATATTTCTACGCAATTTTTCCTTGTTATTTTTGTACTTTTGCAAAAGGAAAAACATCAAAAAGCGCGTGAAAAGTTTTGCTCAGCAGAGGAAAATATATTGCTTGAAAATTGCTTGCCAAGTTTTTTGCTTTGACAATTGTTTGCCATATTTTTGTGATTTTTTTATGCATTAAATTTTTTTGCTGTTGCTGTACAGCTAACGAAGTCGCATTGTTTTTCCACCTTACTCAGACTGCTGTCTGCTGTTTGTTACAACTTTTCAATTGTTTGGCTTCTGTCATTACCTTTGACATGGCAATGGCAGCTTGTGGTTGTTGCTTTTGCCTTTTGACTGTCGCCGCCTTTTGTCTTTCGCGCCTTTTGTCCGGGCTATGCCCATTTCCCCACCCACTTCCTCCCACTTTGCATTCGCACTTTGATCTGCGCCTCTTCTGCATTTTGTCTCTTAATTGTAATGATGAAGTGCAACCAATGTCGGTCCTTTCAACTCTGCCCGCGGTGGTTTGAACTTGCCATTAAATTTAATTGTATTTTTCTCAAAGTTATTAACCAAAAGGTTGACAAAAAATTAATGGTGTTTTTTTGAGAATATATTTTTCTATGTTCTTATTACATATCTATACAGTTCCTTTAATAACTGTTGACACACATTCCAGAATTGCCTTGTTGAAAAATGCAAGCTGCAATCTCCCCTCCGAAAAAAAGGGAACTGCATTCTTACTTTCAACTTGAATGCACTTGGATGGAGTGCACTTCGGAATGCTTCTTTACCTTGACCCAGATTCACTAATTCACCCCTTTCGCACAAATAAAAAATATAAACAAAACATGTAAACAAATCTATTTTGAGTCTGGGTTGCCAAGTCGAGTTTTTCTCGTTCAACATGTGTAATTGCAGGCAGAACGTGCTCAAAGATGCAACATATGCAGTTTTTTACTCAAAGGACGACCTTGAATAAGGGGGATTAAAGACTTTGAGCTTAAAGCCTTTTAACTAGAGTTGCTACTTCTATTTCCACTTAATAAAGCACACTAATGATGACCACAAATCCAGTCCAAAGAACAACAAATTGAAATGAATCTGCACTTGAGCACGTTCGTACGTTGCCAACTCACGGAAAGAATCTCAACCACCGGTAGCCACTTCTATTAGGGCTAAGCCAACTCTAATTTATTTTTAATAATCGTGTTTCATATATTTTTCAAGTTCTCTTTGAGTTTTGCAAACATTCTTTACCCCCGGGACAGAACCCAAAGTATAAAAAAAAGATTGATTTGCTTACTAAATTTGTGTACTTTCAATTAAGTTAAAAATGCCTCGAAAGGCACTCAAATAGTCAGAGATAGTACCTATATGTGCTACAGGATTTCCATTTTTAATAAGAGGGTAGTGTTCTTTGTAAAAGTAGTGGCCTAAATTATACTGTGGAATATTTAACAAATTTATAAAAACCAAAGCACTTTGAACAAGAAAGGAAAGCTAACTTCGGGCGGAGCCGAAGTTTATATACCCTTGCAGTTAAAACCGGATATATATCGCAAACATCGGATATAGTTGGCCGATCCTTATGGGAATAGGAATATATAATCCAATTTATTACAATACAAAATCTAAAAAAAGTCCCAAACTTCTATCTTCAAAACTACGAAAGTTGATATTTCTACCAAATACCATTTCCGATCGTTCAGTTATATGGCAGCTATGGGATATAGTCGGCCGATCCTAATGAAATTTGGTAGGTTGGATCAACTGACCAAGAATTAAATCTGTACTAAGTTCCAGCTTTCTATCTTCAAAAACACGAAAGTTGGGTCATTTCCGATCGTTCAGTTATATGGCAGCTATAGGATATAGTCGGCCGATCCTTATGAAATTTGGCATGTCGTATTATTTTGCCAAAAATAGCTCTCATGTCAAATTTGAACTCTCTAACTCTAAAAACACCAAAGTTATACCATTTCCGATCAATCAGTTATATGGCAGCTATAGGATATAGTCGGCCGATCCGGGCCGTTCCGACTTATATACTGCGTGCAAAGGAAAGAAGGGTGTGTGCAAAGTTTCAAGTCGATAGCTTTAAAACTGAGAGACTAGTTCGCGTAGAAACAGACAGACAGACGGACAGACGGACAGACGGACAGACGGACATGCTCATATCAACTCAGGAGGTGATCCTGATCAAGAATATATATACTTTATAGGGTCGGAGATGTCTCCTTCACTGCGTTGCACACTTTTGACCAAAATTATAATACCCTCTGCAAGGGTATAAAAATATAAAATATTGAATAAGAAAGAATAAATGTGCGTTGATAAGGAGGAATAGAATAATGTGAAATGTGCATATTTTCCAGTAGCTTAAGATAGAACAAACTCTAACATACCCTATAATAATATACCAAAAACTGTTGCTTGCTCAGAAAAAATCTGAAAACTGTTTGTTTACGGGTCAACTTTCCTCTCCAACTCCATTTCCTTCGGAAACCCAGCTGGACGCACGCAAAACACACACATGCACTTGAGGCTTTCACCACTTTCTCCCGTAGAAAGGGTTGCTGAAGGATGAAGGATAATATGATGCTTTCGGGATATCATGTGTGGACGCTAAAGCAAACAAAAGTGCAAATTCCCGGGGGGACATTTGATTGAATTCTGGCTGTTAACCGTTCTCGTAGTGCGCACTTCTCTAACGAACGAAAAAAAAAAAATTGGAAAATCCTTTGGCTTCTTTCTGCTTATCTGCCTGGAAGAAAAATATCAAAAAATTTAAAATCATCTCCAAGGGTTCGGGGAACAGTTTATTTGGCAAATGTTATTTGTTCTTTGCCAGTTTTGGCTCTGATTGATATTATTATGGACATGTCCGTCCATTGATTGATGGTTTTGCTTGGACGGCGCTTAAAAACGGAATCTTCTATTTGGATTTTAGAAAATTAAAAAAGCAGCTTAGCATCAGCATCCATTCATCGGTATTATTTGCTTTATACAAAGCGTATTAAAAAATCGGAAGTTGAAAGATTTCTACCGTCTCCCTCAGAATTTTTTTTAAACAAGCCCTGAGGCAGATTTTTGAGTTGGATGGGTGGCGCCACGCGACATTTTTCCGCATCAAATGTATAGGGATACAGAATCTGGAATGGGGGATATGGGGTATTATCGAGTGTCCTTTGTCTGGTGAACGGCTTTGATCTTCGCCGCTATTAAGAATGATTGAATGGGTGGTGGGGGTATTCCAATAATTGGAATACCTTTAAAGGTGGCAGAGCTTAATCAATGATTGCTTTGGTAAATAAGTGTCTTGTATAAGGAATATAAGTTAATTAGCAAGTGTGATTGTTTACTAATCCTCAACCCATTACCTCCTAACAAAAATATAACCATTATTTTTATGTAATATTTTTATTTAAATTGTATGCATACGGTTTTGGTTGCTTATTTTACATTTAAATAACTTAAACAGTATTGTAGTTTATTTTATTTCTTGGGTTAATTACGGATGTAAATATTTCTACTTTTGAACTTGTACTATGTTTATGCTCGTGATGCGAAAATGCATCTTTACTTCATATAATCTTGACTTTCTAGACATATATTGCTTATATAATAATTTATCAACTAAATTGACACACACACGACTTACAGTTCTAGAGCAAAGTAAATATAAAAATATATATTTTTGTATTTTGAAAAATATATTCCCGTAATTATTAGCTAATATCGAAAAAGCATTCTACCTAGGAAGTTGAAAATTGTATCCCCATTAAAATAGACACCAAGAGAGTTGTTTGTAAAAAGTCATCGTAACTACTTGTAGATATTTATAGTATATAGAAAAGATTGGCTTATTAACTACGTTGGTTTCGTTTTGAAAACTAGCTGCTGCTTTCAAAATTTTGTTTGTATATATAATTCCAGAATTTGTGGGCTTGCTCTGTTCATTACTCTTGCACTGGGCCGACCTTCTTAGTGAACCTAACTGAATTAGTTAAATTAGTTCGATTAACTTAAATAATTTTAGTACAAAAATATTTTGGGCAGGAAATATTTTTAGCAAAATCATTTATCACATTTGCGCTTATCCAAAGTGTTTAAAGTTAAAAGTCGCGACGGCAATAAAGATACAATGGGCGGGAATAATTTCCATCAAAGAAAGTACGAGTATAAAAAAATATTCATTTTTATGGGTTTTTCCTTGGGAAATTGATTCACATTTCTCTGTCACTGTCTCGCTCTCTCTCTCATTCTCCGATCTCTCCTCTAGGGATTTTTGGGGGGGCTGCGCTAGTTCTCACCAACGTAAAGTAATCACAAGTTGCGCTTTTAGGAGCTTTAGTTGGTGCCTCGTCCTATTTGATTTACATTTTTACTGCGCCTGCGGCTGGATTTGAACGGTGGCACTTAATTTACTGGATTTTCCCGCCTGCTGCTTGTGCTGTTGGTAGAACTGCTTTAGGACCTTGCACATGGTGAGTGCCAGGATTTTCCAGGCCAGTAGTTGTTCCTCGGCACTCGGCGCGGCAGCAGGCGCCACCGGTTCACTTGTTGCTCCTGTTGCGGGGGCTGTCTCCTCTGCAGGAGGTGCGGGAGGTCCTTCGAAGTCCACTTGATCGTGTCCAGGATCGATAGCATACGCCATGGGGCTATCAACCTGGTCGCCACTTGGTTCAGACTTGGAGACGTGCTCATCTTCGTAGAACGGGATTGCCATATTTTCGGGTTGAGTTCTCTTGACAAAAATTACGTCGAAATTTTTACTTCACAGTTTGGTCTGCTTTCCGGAATATTTTCTGCTTTTCCAGGATGTGAACTCTAGGAGGGCTGTCGTTTGACTGAGGAACTCAGCTAGCAGGAAGCCCGTATTTATACCCGGGAAGCAGCGGGAGAATTAGCCACCCTCATCCCCTATCACCAATTGGTTTTTCTCTCTCATCTGCCCTCTGACTCCCTGTCTCTCTCTCTGTGACCTTTTATCTCTCTCTGGCTCTGTGCCGCTATGTCGAGCTACTTTCAACACGTGCAGTAAATGCTTCCTCGAACAAAAATAGAGTGACAACACGAGAGAGTCACACTTGTGGCATGTTACGTATACGCAGCACTGGCTTACGTTTTCCTGCTTACGTTCAATTCCCCGCTTTATTCGTGGCTTACGTATTTCAGGGGTTGTTTGGCAGAAATATTCGAAAATTCTTACTTTCGTATTACGAAATTCGTAACCTTTTCGAAGTTCGAGCCAAGGGGAATTGTTTGAATTTTTTTGTGGTTTCTAGACTTTGTCTTTGCCAGAGCATTAGGTTGAGTCTCGCCTCTTTGCTTTTCCTTTTTTGGCTTAGACGTGTCCTTGACCAAAATTTTCTCAGGATTTTTTTTTCTTCTCTCTTCTTTTAGGTAATATTTGTATGGGATATTTCTTTGGCTTCAGCTTTACTAATCAATATTTTTAATATTTGAAATGAAAAATTTAAGCGCAAAAATAATTAAAAAAAGAAAAAGAGGGGCTTTCACCTATAGGATCCACAGTGAAGGCTGTCTTCCCCAATTCGCATCTGATACTCAAGCGGAGTACCTTAAAGAGTTCTGGATCGATTCCTCACCATTCTGCATCAAAATCCTGAGACAAAATATTTTTTAGATTTTTTGTCCATTTTTCGTTTGGTATCCCTTGAAAATGGGGTTTTCCGCTATACGGGCCACGGTGATGGCTATATCTTCCCCAGTTCGCAGCGGACTGGTTCAAGCGGAGTACCTTAAACGATTTCTGGATCGTTTCCTCGCCATTATGCATCAAAATCCAGAGACAAAATATTTTTAGATTTAGTCCATTTTTCGTGATGAAAATGAGGTTTTTCACCGTTATGTCTATATCTTCCCCAATTCTCATCCGATTGTCAAGCGGAGTACCTTGCAAGTACCTGCAGGGGTATAAAATAACCTGCTTTCCTTTTCCGAGCAAACATGCCACAAAAATGATAAAATATAGAATTCTTTCGCAAGGGTTCTTTGCTCTTTCTCGCCCTTTATCACTCACTCCCTCTCCGGCAAATCAATTCCACAAATCAACATAATCAACTTCCCGCCGTAAGTCCAAAATATAATGCACTCGCCGGCGAAAAACTTCTTTTGTTACCCGCAGAATAAAATGGCTTCGTAGCAGCAGAGCCCGAATAAGAAAGCAGAAATAAGTGCCGTAAAAAAATGTAAAAACTTTTTTATAGTGGCTGCATAAAAAATGTAAAATAAAATCCGACTGAAGGACTTTAAAGGAAAATATACGAAAGAGTGCACAACAAAAGAAAATTACCTCCGAGGGCGTCCAGGTGAGTGGGCGGGGCTCGATAATGACATCCACGCGATGATAACTCCCAGAAATCAGAGGGAAAAATCCATGATCTAATTTGCTAAACACTCGAACGAATCCCGAGGGTTGGGCATATCACTTACACTGCCAGATACCTGGCGAATATCCCTGCAGGACGGGAAAAGCGAAAGGGATTCTCGAAAGCAAAATAAAGAAAAGAATTGTTTTCGCTTAAAAGAACATTCAAATGGAAATGTTCTGCTTGGTTCAACACAAACAACGAATGCAGGCGCGCACACAAACTGCATTTATTTAGTTAGCAAACAAAAAGGGAGCAAAAAAAGGTAGAAAAAGGAGCAAAAACTGGTAACCGAAGGAAGAAACGCATTTGAGTACCTCTAGACAGACAGACAATGCATATAAAAGTGAAGTGCACCGGGGCATGTGCAGCACACGAGCAACACAACAAGACGGTGGAAAAAATTACAAGGGAGCAGCTCCCAGAAATGTCAAATTTTGGCAGGAGACCAACAAAAGAATACCCTTGAAGAGGGATTTATTTTATTCAGTTTTTTATTTAAATTTAAGTCATTCAAAATGGATTTAAAATTTTAAATATAATCAACAATTTTTAATAGTCAGACCTTTACTTAGGAAAAAAAAAATGTATAAATCTTTATCTTTTTAAGTTTTGAAACTTTTTCTTGTATTAGTTTCATACTACCTTTGTATAATCAAACCTTTTAAAGGGTAATTACCTGGCACAACTAAAAAACGTAGCATACAAACCAGCGTCGATTCGTCGACCTGCACTTTGTTGCCTTCTGGCTGTCAGATTGATATTAAATTATATACCTTATTATCATTTCAGTGTTTGCCTTCGCTCTTGTTTCCTTTTTGTTGTTTGTTGCTGTCAGTGGGAGTAGCTGATGGGGGCGGGGCAAGTCGTGTTTATTTACAGCTGGCAACAATTGTTGCTGAAATGCATTTCACTTTGCCGCACTTTGGAGGATGCACCTCAAGTCAAAGTCAAAGCAAAACACTTCACATGTGGTTCCCCGTACCTTGGATATTTCGTTTTGTTTTGTTTTCTTGCGCAAACTGTTATTATTCAAGGATGGTGCAGGATACAAGGGCTTTATGCTTGATGGTTGCACCCAAGTGACATTAAATGGCTGCCACATCTACGGGTTTTCCGTCTTTTCGTTCCCGTTGCCATAAAGTGGCTCAAGTGCCAGATTAAAGTTGCCTTCCAGTTTAAAGCACTTCCCTTCGAATGTCGTATAAAATATTTATATTTCCAGCTATTCACACAGTTTTTCCTTTATATTGGCCATCAAAATAAATTGATGAAATTTCAGTTCGATACTCAAACTAAATGGGATTAAAGATTCGATCGCCAATGATTGCTTCGCTACTATTTGATTTTCCCTCACGAGGAGCTTAAAGTAAATAAAATCGACTTTTATGCATTGTTTTCAAGTAAAGCCATTTATTATAGACCTGTTTGCAAACTAATTATCCCCAGCCCTTTCAAAATTGTAGCATCCCATCCCGTCTACTTTATTTTAAACTGAAAACCCAGAGCTAATCGCCTCCATTGTCTGTTTCGGGTAACCAAAAGTGCCGCACTAATTAACAAATTGATTTATGAAAATGAAAATGACGAATCTCTAGAGACAAGAATCCAATCATCAGGGTAGAGCCAAAAATTTCTCATATGCAAAATATTTTTCGCCAAAAAACAAAAGGACAACAGTGGGGAAGAACAACCCTTGGTTTTGTTGAAAAACTTTGACTTTGTGGTTAAATCTGGAACTCATCCACCGCAGACAGACATTTAATTAAGGTGTCTTCATGGTTACAATCTCATTTTGAACTCGAGTGGCAAATGAGTCTAATTAATAACGAGGCATTTGCCTTATAATTCATTTGCCGGATCCAAATATTTCTTTACCAAGCTGCTAAAAAATAATTTTAGAGTGTGAGTAATTACGAAAGGCATTTTGGGTACAGCTTAAATCCCCTCTGAAAAGGATACCTCATATACGAATATTAAAACATTGTAAATATTTATGTATTATTAAAAACATTTAAGGTTTTCCTGGTATTAGCAGGTGTACAAATTTTAAATCTCAATGTCCAGTCTTTTATTTAGGTTTCCCATTTGGTCTTCAAAAAAAGTTCCATCGCATTTCATTTGTCCGACAATTTTTCTTTTCCGTTTTAACATTTTGATGACTTAAGCCTGGCGTCTGACTTGAATTTATTGCCAGGGTGATAGGTTTTTCGGCCAAAACACTGTAATTTATGCAAATTGTTTAGCACTTTCCCTTGAAGCTCCAACCCCAGAGCGGTACAATTAATTTCACAGTTCAATCATATAAATTTTGGCCAACCCCAAAGTGGTTTTTACTTTCTGGGCTGGTTGCATTATAATCGAATTTCAAGGATAAACTTTGCATTGTCCTGGAAACTATAGTAAGTAAACATTCTGGCCGGGGCAAGACATCAAAAGCGTGTTTAATTTATGGTTCGTTAGGTCAGCCATTTGCTGTCAGCAAGTGGAAGGACAATGTCTGGACCTGAACCTTCATCCAAACCGTATGCAAATCAAATGGAGTATTCATCTTCGTCAGTTCTTGGACCTTTTAACTACGGGTCCTTTGAGGTGTTGGCTTAAACTCCAAATGGGAATTATATTCAAAAGGGAACACGGAAAACACTCCCAAATTCTTCCAAATTCCACCCCTCCAACGGGTCAAGAATAATTCCTTTTTGATTCCCTCCCCCGCTTTTCAAAAAACTGTGGGAAAATGGTCTCGGAACATGTGTGAGGATGGAAATTTATGTGCGTCCAGTTGGGCCATAAAAAAGGGACATCCAACTTAACAGAACTTCCTCCAGGGGGAGTCGAGAGACCATACAAAAGAAAACATTCTCAGTGATTCGGCAAGGATCTTTGTGCGGTCAGTTCGAGTAAGCATAAAAGGCGACAAAGTGCCACTTTGGGCTTTAAAGTTTCGTCCCCACTTGTTTGTTACTTTTAAATGATTAAATGCATTCTATTGCCGAGTATTTTTATTTATTTTAAACTCCCAATTCCGGGGTTGTTGGCCAAATGTCTGTTGGGCATATCAAAAAGGCGATTCGGCTGTTATTAAATGTTTTACAGCCCGACCAGACCAATAGAAATTTTGAATTGTTGAGCTCCAAGGAGAGATAATGTTTATTGTGTACTTTTTATTGTCAGCTCAGCTTTTAATTTAAATGATATAACAGAAAATGTTTGACTTTATAAGCAACCCCTGAAAAAGTACTTGGATATGTGAATTGCTTGGCAGTTTCTTGTATTGTGTGGAATACTCTTTAATCCTGGAAGTGGCTAAAGATTTTTAAACTGAGTCTTTTTTTAGCGAGGGTATTGTCAATGCCTATACTCTCCTCTGATAGATTTTCTGCAAACATTGTAAGTAAAAATGGCGCATTAAAAATAATTTTTTATAGCAATTTTTATTTGCAA